CGTGATTGTGGATGCTGCTGAAATTCTACTGCATGCGCATTAAATATATTTTTCCCTACATTTTGGTTAAGCATTTTGTGGACAGGAGAGAAACCAGCCATTCACCTTAACCTCCTAGGACCTGGCGTCCACATATGGGGACATCACCTCTCGCCCTCCAACAACCCTCGATCCTACATCCTAACATAAAAAAAAAGAAAAGAACATTTTTTGTCTTGTTTTTGTTTCGCTTTTCCCTCCTGATTTTATATCTGGATTATGACTAGCATGTTGCGCAGTATGTTAGACGGATATTCGGTAATCTGGGCAAATTCACAGGAAATTTGCTGGCAGAGCAGAACCTGGCAAGACAATGACAAGTGATATAAATTGAGACAGAGCCACAATGACAGCAGAGCTGCTTCAGGCTGTAGATCCCTCTGAAATCACTGCTTAAAGTGGGGATTTCCTCAGTTGTTGTGTTTATTGATAATGTAAAGAAGCAGAGTCAGAAAGCAGCAAGTAAAGTTATTTCATCAAAGCTTGAAATGTGATATATGTATACAGTAGAGTACATGCCACATGCATCAAAAGACTTTATTTTTATCTTAAAACCCTGCTTGATAATTTTCATATTTTAACAATGACCTTCAGTAAGTGGACAGAAAATAAAACACTTCCCCCCGATTTCCTGGAAGGAGAAATGAGGAAAGAAGACAAGACTGCATGCTGAGTTGGTAATTCAGTGTGTGTGTGAGAGGGGCAGGGGGGGCATGGGACGGCTGGTGGATTTCACGTCCCACTTCCTCCTGCAAGGCGATTAAGCCAGACGTCTGTCACACAGAGAGAGAGGAGAGCGAGTGAGAGACCCACCTCTCTCTACCCTCTGCTAGAGTAAACACACCCTCGCTTACACACTTATGTTTGCATAACTAAAAATGTGATGATATCCTGTTGACTTTCATTCAATCCAGTCTGGACAACTTTTTAAAGAATTGCATGAGTGATTTTGATTATGTCAGTATTAACTCTGAGATATTGGTATGGAAGTACTGATGTTTACCGTAAAGGTCGCATCAAAAATCATATTGTCGCTAAAATTTTAATCAAGTGGCTGAAAAGTGAAAAAACTGTAGTTTCTACTCGTGGCCACTTGAGGCTGGCTCCAAAAGCCATTCAATCCCCACAGACTCTCCAGTTTAACAGCATTAAATAGTGTATTTACGGCATAGTATGAACAGCTGGTGTGGATAGTTTAGCTTTCATGTGTGTGTGTTTTTTAAATAACTAATCCAATTAGATTTTTTAAGGCTTTCAATTAAAGATGCTTTCATCAACGGGTGTGTCAACACAGGCAGCTGTAGTTGATGCTTTCAGGCTCCTCTTCTGTGGAACCAGCTCCCAGTTTGGATTCAGGAGACAGACATTATTTCTCATCTCTGTATTTAGGCGATAGCAAAAACATATGGTTTACCCTCTCTGGATAGTACAATACCACTAATAAGTGGTTTTACTTTTGTCAAAAAACTGCGGTACATTTATATAAGTTGAATTTAGTAGGAAATTTAGTAGAAAAGGGTTAAAGCAAACCTGCAACTGATGGCTGGAGAGCTTTTAACCGTATTAGCATTTATTTGACTTTATTAAACACATTGTGCTTTAGCTGTGCTATCACCATAAGAGAGAACTGAAATGCAGTGTAGTAATAAATGCCTAATTTCACAGCATGAAAAAGAACAGCCAAAACATTACATGTTATTGTCCATTAACTGAAACACAGACACACACACGCACAGAGGGAGACAGTTGGGTCTTGCTGTCAGTTTGTGTTTTGTCAGCAGCTCCAGTGGGAGAGAGGCCATTTTTGATGCCTGGCCAGAGTGGTACACACACCCAGACACACAGCTAGAGTTTGGCAGTTTCCTGTTCCTTTATTTCACCTCCACTTGACCTGAAATGTTAAACTTTTAGTATTTTCCTCATTTATGGTGTCACACTCTGCACTCACACTCCTGTATGATCCCAGCATCTTCATCCAACCAAAGGTCTGACCTCTCTGATCTGTTCCACTCGTGTGTAATGACCACTGGATCCTCTAGGGGCAACTAAGAGGTTTCCAAGGCTTTAGTGACACACTGTACAAACTGTATTCACACTCATGGTACTGTACGTATATTTCATCTAATATCCAAGCAGTCTGCTGGTCAGAGAATTAGCATCAGCTGCAACGGTTAGAGTTGAGCAGATGATAAAATTATGGTGAGATGAGATCAAAATGAGAGAATTGCTCACCGGGCCTTAGTTTGACAAAAAAGGCCAAAGGCTGCAGCTGGATGGATGATGATCTCAGTAGCATCAATCAGTTTTGCAAAGGGAATTCTACTTTAGATTCAACTTTATGTGCTAGAAATCAGGACTTTTATTAAAGGGCTAATTTTCTGTGAGTCTACTATAGTGGCTTTCACATCCATCTTCTTACATTTAACCAATCCGTGGTCACTGGACTGGAGCCTACACCAGCTGTCGGGCCAGGCACACCCTGGACAGGTCCTCAGTCTGGTGGCGTGTTCACAAGAGTCCCATTTAAAAAACCAAGAAACCCCACAAACTTTAATCTTATATTTTGGTCCCTTCAGCTTTCATTTAAGTTCTCAAAAAACAAAAACATGTCTAACTTTTTATTAGTGAGGCCCTTTTTTGGTACCAACTTTAATTTTACTCAAAGGTCAACACTATAGCTTTTAACATTTGTAAAGGAAAAACAAAACTTCCTGTAATGACTCCCAAAGATTAGTTTCTTCACACAAGCTCTTATAAAAGACAAGAAAAAGAAAAAGAAAAGAAACAAACAAAAAAAACCTGAACATTTATTCAAGTGCAGGGAGGCAAATGATGAGACACAGGCTGAGGATTGGTTTCCTAGGCGAATATCATGATTCACTTTTATTAAAAGCATCATAGCTACAATTCATCATACATGATGTCTCAAAAAACAAAAGAAATAAAAACAAAAAACAAAAGACACACACCAAAAAAAAAATAAAAATTAAAATTAAAAAAAAAAAAAGAGGAAAAAACATTTACATGGTATGTCTGTAAACTTCAAGGCTAGATAAGAATTGAGGTAATGCTCTTCAGCTTGCTGGCTAAAAGTAACAAAAAGTCCTTTTTTCAAGAAAAGTAGCTAAGTAATAAAGGTACCTGATTATTTTAACTCTTTAACACCAGTGCATCAACAGGAACAGCGTGAGACAAAATTGATTGCAGTACTTATTTGTCATCATTTACAGTTTTAGTTTTGTTTTTCTATTCATACGACACTTGTGGTTATTTATAGTGTGTGTGTGTTGGGAGAGTGATGCTGGAACATTCAAAAGCTGCCTTGGTTATTGCTGTCTCAGCGTTAGAGAGGAGAACGGGGATCTTTGATGGGGAAGGTGTTCCCCTCACCTCTAACCCACTTCCCTCTCTCTGCATCTGCTGGGCTGGCTGTGAGAGCAAATGTTTAATAAAAAAACAAAAAAAAAACAAGACCTGGCCACAGTGTGTGTCTTTGAATGTACTCTCAAATATCTGAACCACTCGCAGCACTTGATTCATATCAGACACTTGAACTGGCCTCAGGGGGGGAACGGAAAATCAAGCACCGCTTGCGCTTTTTCAAGTATTTCAAACATACTCAGTGAGAAGAGTTGAACTTCATATAGAAAATGCAATTTTCCAACTCTGCTGAAAAATGTGTCTCAGTCCTGCGTTGGCCAGGCCTGGTGTCAGTGTGTGACTAAAGCAACAGTCTTTAAAGTGAAGGTCGCCAGGGAGCAGCACTTGGCCTGGAACTACTGGGAGGAGGTGAAGAGAACAAAAACAAAGCATTTATAACATGCTGCCCCCCTTTAAAGAATAAACCTGAAGCATCGCATCCCGTTGTAGACCACTTCTCTAAAATCCATTTACAGAAGCCTCCCAAATGAGGACGCCTGGATTAAGCAGCTCGAAGTGGACCAATCAGAAAACCTGATTGGTGTCAGACCCAGCCCGCTCGTCACCCCCTGAGCCAAAACCAGGCGCCTTGAAGCGGGAGGAAGGTTTTGAGATGTGGCAATGGAAAGACCGGAGACTGGTATTCAGTGTGGGACTGGGTTTTAACAGTATTGGTTCAGTGTGCACACAAGCACACACACGTACACTCAAAGAGAAACAGTCCTCCCAGAAACAGTCACATGACAGAGAAAGGGGTTAGTGTGAGTGTGTGTGAGTGTGTAGTGGTGGACACCTGAAAGAGAGTGTGCAGCTAATGATCAAGTACGTGTTGGATGTGTGTGTTGTGGAAGTCAGTGTGTGAGACTGAGTTTTTTTCTTTTTTCCTTCTTCTTCCTTTAGGCCAGTCTGGTTTTGTTTCCTCCTCCACATCTACCTGGTCTGATATGTGAGAACTTAAAATCTGTTCTTACTCAGAACAGCTCAACTCCATTACCCACAATTCCTTTTGCAGCAGCTTTGTCAGACAGACAGTCGGGTTAGCTGTAATGCTGTTTTCCTTTTCTTTTGAGCTCACGGGGGTGCACTGCAAAGCAACCTCAAACCCTGAATGAGACGGTTCAACTCTTCCATGACCCTTTCTGCTTAAGGCTGTGTGAGTGATCAAAAATGTGATCCGTCTTAATGTACAGTCAAGTTAAGTAGTTATTCTACCACTCAGGTGATGGCTACACATTAGAGATGATAAACCTCAAACCAATCAATTTAAACATGATAAATCTGCATTAAGGTTTTGACACCAATGCAAAATAATTCAAAGAATCTCACTGACTGAATATTCTGTGTCAGACTTCCTAAAACAGTGTAGTTTCTGGCTTTAGGCTCTTCCAACTTCGCAGTACACCCCTTAAACGCTGGAAAAAGTGTTGGCAGGGGATGCTTCTCGTTTTGATGAGATGCTGCCGACAACAACAAAACAGTCCAGACGAAAAAACAAAGGAAAAAAGGAGGAGGCAAAGAAAAAAAGACATTTGAGAGCTGAAAGCAGCAATAATAATAATAACAATAATAATAATAATAATAATAGTAGTACTACTGGAACCCTTGTGAAGTCTTGTTTGAGGGATTGTGGGAGGGAAGCGTGGGTGCACCGTTCACAGTGTGCGCACACAGGCCAACCAGACAAAAAGAAACAGTCTTTGAAGAGCAGCCGAGCACTCGGCGAGCGGCTGTGAGGATTTTCCCTGACTACACTATCGATCAGAAAGATTTAACTTAACACGCACAAACCTCGTTCTCTCTGACGCATAGGAAATATAACTGGCCAAAAAAACAACAAAGTGAAAGTAAATCATCAACAACAATGCAAAGAAAAAAAAAAGAATTTATAATAGTTTGGATATTTCTGGTGGAGGCGTGTAAACGTGGTGGGTGGAGGAGGTGAAGAAATGTCCAAGGCCAGTCAGTTTTGTATTTTAGTTCAGTCACTCTTGTCCTTCTGTGAAGATGCTGCTGCTTCCTCTGCTGCCGCCTCTTCCTCCTCCTCGCCCATCCCTCCATCCTCTAAAGCTGAATAATCAGCCTCACTTCTCATCTCCCCCTCCTTCTCCTCAGCTAAGTCACTCTCTCCTCCTCCCTCTTCATCCTCTTCCTCTTCTTCCTCCTCCTCTTCTGCTGCCGCTTTCAGATCTGCCTTCTTGTCCTCCTTCTCTTGGTCTCTTAGGACATTTGGAGTCCCAGCACTGCCCCCCAGCGCTCCAGCCATTGCATTCTGTAGTTCAGCAAGGTTGGAGGCGGTGGGGAAGCCCGGTAGGCTGAGCCCTCCAAGGCCTGGAGGTAGGAACATAGACGGGTAGAGGAGACCAGGGGCCATGGTGGAGAGAAGAAAGGGGTTGAATGCCAGGGTGTTAGCAGACATGCCAGCCGCAGCCAGCAGGGTGGCAGCGTCACCGTTGATGGTTGCCTCTGCTGACGAATCGGCAGCTGGGATCTGAGACGCCACGGCGTCTTCGCTGAGGGATGCCTCAGTTTTCTCTGCCCCATCCTCTTTCTCCATCTTCTTCCTCTTTGCCTTCTTCACTCCTTCATCGTTTCCCTCAGCTGCCTCCTCGTCCTCTCCCGCCTCATTGCGGTTTTCTGCTTCGTCTCTCTCCTCTCCCTCCCTCTTCCTCTTTGTTGTTGCCGTTTCGCCACAGTCTCCTTCCTCTCCTTCGGCTGTTCCGTTCGTTTTGCCTGCTGTGGTGGTGGCTGTGGAGTTGGGTGGAGCTGGGGCAGCGGCTGTGGCTGTTGCCAGGTTACCACCAAAGAGCCCGCCGAGGCTGAACATGTTGGGTAGGGCGGTGGCCATGTTGGGAAGGCCTCCCATGCCGGGCAGCATGAGAGGCAGCATGGAAGCGGCGGCGGCATTGGCAGCGGCCTGTTTGGGGTCTGTGGGAGGAGGGAAGGCCATCAGACCTGCAGCCAACTGAAGAGACTGAAGGCTCTGGAGAGAAGACAGGTCCATCCCTCCAAACAGACTGTTCAACAGCAAAGGGTTGATGCCTCCTGCAGACACAGACACATACAGTAAGTGAGGGTTCAAACACACAGTCTACTGAGACACACTCCTGCCTGATCCACATGCCAGACGGTTGGTTGGTTCGTACCTGCTGATGAAGCAGCCGTGGCCAGTGAAGCCTGTGCAGCCTGAGCTGCAGCAGCTGCCTGCGCAGCAGCAGCTGCCTTGGCGATCTCAGATTTGGGGCGACGCCCCCGACGGCGGACGCCCTCCTCTCTGACTACAGGGCCGGTCAGAAGGCGGTCAAACATCGCTTCAGGGAGGAAACCCTGTGTAGACAGGGATTTTTTTAAAGTAAAAACTTCAGTTAACTACATTATCACCAAGTGTAGGTTGTGCCTTCGTTACTCACCGACTGTTTGACAATATCTGTCCAATCAGGAGCAATCGAAAACTCTGGGTTCTCCAGCAACCACCTGGGAAGCTCTTTCATTGGAGGAGCCATGGCTCCGCCCATCTAGAAAACAGGAAAATGAAGTGAGGTTGGTGTTGAAAATGTCATTTTTCTGAAACAAAGAGACGATCTTGGAGAGGCAGTGATAGTGCGGCAGTGTTAGCTTACCTTGCGTCCATTCCTTCTGTTGACCACAGGCACTCTCTCATCCCCCGTCAGTGTGTTGATGTCTATCTTGTTGGGGTTTCGACAACGATGGCGCTTCTGCTTAGGCTTAGAGAACGGAGACAGCAGCAAGTCCTCATTCTTCTGTAACACAAAGAAAACAACACAGGGCACATTTAAGAAACGCGTCCACAAGTCTCAGCACAACATCCATCAAGTGATAATCTCGCTTGAGCTTTAATCCACAGTAATTATCAAATAAAAATGCAGAAAAAACAAGAGGACTTACTGGTGTGAAGCCAGGCATATCCATGGTGTACGTTGGGTGCTGCCTCAGCCATTCGCCGAGCTCTTTGTTGGAAACCGCCGTCTCTTCTTCCTCCAGATTGCCTGAGGCGAGAGATCTTGCACTGGGGCTCTGCTCAGAGACATTGCGGGGTTTGTGGACACGTGAAGCATCCTGAAGCCCCTCCACACCTGAGACCTTTGGCCCATCTGCATGATCCTGAAAAAATGACGCAGAAGGAAAGATTACCTTGACAATCTGTACAAGGATCACATCTGTGTGCATGACACAAATGACCACATTTGCCCTCCTACATACCCCTTCTGTTCGTCTGTTGCCCATGAACAGCAGCTCCAAACCCTCCACATTTTTCCTGCGGCCACGCCTCCTCCTAATGACAGGCAGGTCAGCCTCCAGCGAACCGTTGGCTCTGTGTCCAGTCGCTGGGCCTTGCTGAAGCAAATCCATCTGCGCCTTGAGGGAGGAGTTTGTCACCAGGGCACTGGAGAAGCTGGTCAGTGAGGGAGAGGCCTTGTGGTGATGGGGCATACCCTGAAGATCAGATCAGATCAGTTGTAATGCATCAACTTTTACACTTTAAACATTAATACAAAATCTGTAATTCTGTCAGGACCAGTTCAGTTAAAATAGGACTGGCATTCCTTCTGAAGTAATTTTTATGGCTCTGTAGTAGCACACAAAAGCTAAAGCGGCCAAATACAGCAGGCGCGTAACATCATACACATTAGAGGAAATGCTGCTGACTTCATCAGCTGATGTAGGCTGGAACTGAGACAAGCTGATGTGCTAAGACTGCTGACTGAGCTCAACTGTGTAGCCCGCCAAAACTGAAGTGATTTAGTTTAACAACAGTAAGACTCAATCGTTAAGAGCTAGTAACTAGACTGAACGTGTTAGTGAGCACCTTGGTGAGGTCTATAGCCTGGCTCTGGGACTCGGCAGCAGCATGGCTCTCTCTCAGCTGTGCCACCATTTCCATCAGGTTACGTCTCTTGGCTGCCCTCTCTGCCTCAATCTCAATCTTTTTCCTCCTCCTCCTTCTCTGTCGAGGCACCGTCAGGCTCAGAGTCTCCTCCTGCAATAATAGGTCAGCACTCAGTCCTCATTCTGTTCCAAAACTGCATTTCACATATGAGCTCGGCACAGTGTCGTCATTTCCAAAAACATGATGATGGTAAACTGAGAATACTATTAATGGGTAACGTCATTTGTTGAACTTGTTTAGTGTACATGTGTGCAAACACTCACATGAACCTGAGGTGATAGTGTTTTATCTTCACTCCCACTAAATGGTGTATGGATGCCGGCCATTGTCAGCTCAGCCAGGCTCCGCCTCTGGAGCGGGCTCTCGGTCGCCATGGCTGCAGCCGCTGTTGTTGCTGAGGAGCCGTGCCCTGGCAGGAGGTTGCCAGGGAAGTCGAATACGTGGCGTCTGTTGACAGGCCACTTGCCCTTCAGGACGGCCTCGCAGATGTTATCCATCCTGTTGATCATCACTCGATCCTGAGTGGAAGAGAGAACCGGGAGAGGTGATGGATCATTCTGTCAGTTCCTTTGTCAGCTTCATTTCCTGCGTACTGTAAATCTCTCAGAACCACGGTTTTGCTTGAGAATCAGACTATGTTTCAGTTTTCTAAAGTATATTTCAGCACATTTTGGGGAAAAATCAATCTAACAGAAAACTCTCTCTCTTCTGTAATTCTTTCCAATCACTCGCTGTTTTTACAATTGCTGCTGAGCTACTGTCAAGTAAACACTTCCCGCACAGATGTTTCATATTAAAAGCCTTGCAGTAGATCAAAAGGCATAATCCTCCTTCTGGTAAGCAGTTCATGTAGGGCTGGTTCTGATTATTTCTTGGCCTAAAAACTATCAGTACATAGCATAAAGAATTCCTCAAACTTTAAGTTGTAGGTTTTTACAAGGTCCAGTTTCAGTTGGAAGACAGTTCAGTTCATTATGGGAAGATTAATGATGAAAAAAAAAGTAATATATATATAAATAGAAAAAGAAAAAAAAAAGAGGGGGCACATTAAAAATTTTTTTTGACAAATCTTAACAGTTCAGACTTAATGTGGAATGTTTATACAAAGGGTTGAGTTTAAGTACTGTGACTGCATAGGAACAGCCAAGCCAAGCAAAGAAAGAAAGCAGAGCTACTGTGTTGTGTGCATGATGTGATTCATGTGCTGACAGAATTACTGCTTTAGAAATCGAAATTCCTGAAATTAAAGGAGACTGGGTATGTGACGTCATGGGTATAGATATGCCTAATATGCCAAGGAGTGGCCAATCAGAAAAGGGTCTGCTTTAAAAACTTGGAGCAGAAAGTTAAACTGGATCGTAAAATGTGAGTCAGGAAAAGCTGCTGTAGTCGAATAATCTGTTCACTTTAACATGTGAGAAATTACTATATTGTAATTCCAGCCTCCGTTGTTTGTATCCGCTGGCTAGTATTTGAGACTCACCTTAGGCCAGAATGAGAAGCCAAAGGCTCGGTCCTGTAAAGCCTGCAATGCAGAGGTTTCAGGCAGGTCGTCGGGGCAGAAGCCGTCTCTGGTTTCATCCCGGGCCGAGGTGCTCAGAGATGCGATGCTCTCCTCGTCAAAGTTCTTCTGCTCTGACGCAGCACTCACTGTGTCGAGAGAAGGAAAGTCATGCTACAAGCCTTAATTAAAAAGACATTCTGAATTGTTATCGAGGGAGCTAAACTCATTTTTTCCTCTCGCCCCTGGAACTCGGGCCTATTTCTGGTGTTTCCCCTCATGACTCGTCAGGGTTTTAATGAGCCTGTGACCGAGTGTAGGCCCAGCAATAACAGTGACTGACAACCAGGGCAAATAAAGTCAGTAGCAAAAGGGTCATAACACACAAAAGTGAAATGAGAGAAATTTGTGCAAGCTACAGTTAGATTTGTTTTATCAGAGATGAGACGAAGAACTCATGGTTCAACATTATCCCTGCTCAGATCACTAACTCGGCCTTCACTCATACCTTCAGCCTGAGAAGACTTCTCCGATTTGTCATCTTCATCTAGCCTCTCCTCCTCTTCCTCCTCTGGGCTTTTCTCTGTGTCAGCAGACTTTGGAGATTTAGGAGACTCTGGGTTCTCCTTTTCTTCTCCATCTTCCTCCTCTGCAGTCTTTTGAGCTGGTTGCACTTTAGGAGAGGAGTGTTGGAGTTCAGCGAGTGTGTCCTTCTGGTCACCGAGTGTGCCGTTTTTCTCTTCTGTCAGGTCTTTGTCCTGGTCATTGGTTAGTTTCTCTTCTTCACCACTTTGCTCTTCTTTGTGCACTTCTTCCTCTTCGTTTTCTGCCTTTGGCTGGACCTCCTCTTCTTTCTTGATCTCCTTACTTTGTGATGCAGCGGTCTCATCTTTATCTTCTCTGATCTCTCCCTCATGTTCCTTCTGTTCATCGGGAGTTTCAATTTTAGCACACGGAATGTTGTTGGCATCCCCTTCCTCCATTTCGACCACCATTTCTGCTTTCTCGTCCTCCATCTTTACAGCCTTCTCTTCCACCTCCTCCTCTTTTGTTGCATTGACAGCAATTTTGGCAGCAGCTGTGGCACTTGCCAGTTCCGCAGGGGTTAGGAGCGGAGCAGAGGTACTTTCTGCCCCTCCCATCCCAGCTTTGGTGATCTCTAATGAGGCTCCTATGCTAACGTTGGCTCCTCGCTGGCTGGTAAAGCGTTGGTGGGCCTCCAGGAAGGCCAAGGTTGGGTCGTTCAAGATGTGATAATCTGTGCGGCTCACACCATGTTTCGAAGCACCCAGGAGGAGGTCCCGGTCGTGGCGGCCACACTCCCACCACTCTGGAAGGTCTGGGGAAGGCTGACAGAGCTTGAGGCGTTCAGAGAGCTGAGGGTGAGGGAGGACCTGCTCTCGGATGCGGCGGAGAAGCTCGATGCGGTAGAGGGTCCGAGAGGCACGCTCCTCTGTTATGGGGTCAATGATCAGAGTCGGGTCTGGAAGTTCTGACGACAAATAAGGCAAACAAGAATTAGGAAAATAAACATCACTCAAGTTTAAACAATCTCAAGAAACGTGTCCATAAGTCCACCTTACCTGTTTCAGTCTTGACTTGCATTCTGCAGACCCGTTTACACATGGCGATGAATGAATAGTAGTACTTCTCCAAACTCTCGTCTGTTTTCTTGTCCAGTCGAGCAAAGGCTCTGAACTGTGTCCAATCAAATTTCTGACGTTTGGTATCAAAAACGACTCCAAAGGTTGAAACAACGCGATAGAAGTCGGCCTCTTCACGACGCGTCCATCTGAAAAAGAAATGTAAAGAAAATTACTGGGGGCTGTTGTTAGGGAGTCACCGTCTCTTTAAACATAGAAGCATTCAATAAATAATAACTTGCTAATAAATGAAACGCTACCTCTGTCTTCTTTCCTTGTAGTACATTGCTCCCTCAGACACCAGGGAGCTGGCGTTCAACACTGGAGATGCCTCTGGCATAAACTGTCCACCTTTGACAAAATAAGCACTTCCTTTAGCCAAATATGGGCTTCCTTCTGCCATGAACATCCCTGCGCCATCTTGGATGTAAGGTGCTGCTCCTCCCGTTTCAGTAACCATACCAACTGAAGGCAGGAACTCCCTGCGTCTTCGTCGCCGGCCATCAGGTCGGTTGAGTGCCTCCTGGCGAAGCTGCTCTCTCCGGTTGGAGCGCTGGTAGGCGGTGATGAGGCGGCGCAGACGAGCTGTCAGAGCTGAGGCTGCTGGCCAGTAGAGGCGCTCATTGGAAGCAGGAGCCCTCTGACTGTTTTCATCTGATTTTGCTACCGGAGAGAAGAAATGATCTCAGTGTCTGAATAGTTGTTCTATACTGTGCTGCTTCTGGCAAAGCGTACCATAAATAGTCAGTAATGGCAGCTCACTGTGCTTTATATCTTTTTTTTTGCAGTCATAAATATTCTGTCTCAATGAACATGGTTAAAGTTTGTACAAGTAATCCCTGTGAGCCAAAAGCTCAGGCTTCAGTCTGCTATGCACTCGGTTTTTTTTCTACTTTTGGATCTGTGATATCAGCAACGTTTTACTCCGGAGAGGCAGCAAATCAGAATGAAGTCGAGTTAAATGAGGGGGAATTAAAACACAGAGGATGAATTGAGGTGGTGCTTCAACGCTCATAAGACACATGAGAATTCAAGTCAGTTCAGTTTTATTTAAATAGCACCAACAGTTCCTTCGAGGCACTTTAGACTGTAAGGTGAAAACCCTACAATAATATAGATTATTCCAATAAAATACGGCTTCATTTGACAATTCTTTTTTGTAATTAAACCACATGACAAATGGTTTCAGTCAGTCAGCACTTTGTCAAAAACTACTTTTGGACAGTAAAAATTTTTGCTCGCCTCCGATCTTTCTGGACATTAATTCATTAGAAAAAAAGAGGCATTTTTTTTTAGGTTTTTCAACCTGCTTTTATGTGTGAAAAGGTAAGAGGAAGAAGATTAACGCCATTAAACGATCCACAGGGTTTAAGTCAACTGATCTTACGATAAACCAGGAGCGATTTTAGCCCATTTTTGGGGGTGCTTCAGCAAAATTAATCAAAGCACCCCCAAAGATTTCTTACTTTTTTTGACAATATTTGCTGTTTTTGGGACACACTACTAAAAATATAAAAAGCATACAGTACTGAATTGAGATGGAACATTTTAACAACAAAAGTATAGATAGCCCCCCCCCTCCCAAAATGGTTTGTTCCAGCTCGCCTCGCCCCTGCTCTGGCTCTAGCGCTGTTGCTGCCAGAGCGATGGTGGCTGAGACGCAGCGGAGCGGAGGTGTACGTGCCTGCCTTAAAACAGGACATATGCATTTAAGCTTCAGTTAGTCTTTATATAGTTAGATAGGAGTCAGTCCATGTTTCTTTTTAGCTGAAAAACATTACACCAGGTAACCTGCTGTGTTGAAAACGTATTTCCCGACGATGTTTGCTACCCTACAATTCGTCCTGCTCTGTAGTAAAATCAGCGACATTTGACCGTCCTGTTGCTCCCATTGAAATGTATACAGCCTATTTAAAATCTAAAACGTAACATTGTCCGTAGCCTGCTGTTGTTACCACTGTCCTGTTTGAAATGTAATGAGAGAAACTGGTTATTTTGTCATATGTGCTGATATTGAACCCAAGGTACTAACTAGAGGGTAAAATTATGATGACTGATAACGGAGATGAAGACAACAGACGATGAGAACAGGGAGGAACAGGGGTTTAAATGCATCAAGGAGACAGTCAGAGGGAACTCGGGACAACTGGAGACATTTAAGGATGAAGGGACTGACAGAGATGGGGAAGAAGTCTCATTGTGACGAGTAAGGTTTACCTTGCCTGGACGGGCAGCTCTCTGGGTGCTCAGCACCCCCAAAGCTCTGATCCTAGAATCACCCCTGCGATAAACTGATGGGAACCTACTAAATTAATCAGTAGGTGCGTTAAAGCCACCTTTCACCCCTTCCCCTCTTTGTCTGTATGGAGTTTACCTTCATTCTCTCCCTCTACACCCTCATCTTTGTCATCAAGTGGAGAGTTGGTGAAGTCATCCATGTCGTCTTTAAAGGGCATCCGCAGCGGCTTGTATTCGGGATCCTCATCCTCACTGTTGAAAGTCACAGGGAAAACTTAGAAATTCACCTTCTGGAAGACGGATTCATTCCTTTGTCACTTTAAATCAGATCATTCCAGGCCGTGCAGGAGTTCTGAGCACCACTTGAAGAAGCTTAAGTGTTACAACAGAGTGGGAAATTGGACAAACTTCAAAGGGCATTACAATGTGACTAATGAAACACAGAGATGGGGACTAAAACAGACAATACTACAAGGACAGGAGAGTAAAGAGCTGCTGGTCAGTGAAGCCTGCTTTCTTACCCCTCAACACCATCTGCCATCATGTCAGAGCCCCTCTGCTCAGCAGCAATGGCTTTGGCGTCTGGCATGCCCACTCGCTCCAAGAAACACAGGGCGGGGTCAGCACGCATTGAGTTGTACTTCTCATAGCCTGAAGAGGAAGAGAAAGGCATGAGAAATACAGACACCAGAAATCGACGCCTGCAGGTGTGGGAGGATAGAGATTAGAATAGTCAAAACTGGAAAAGAATAACTAAAAGGTTTTCCCTTCAAGACACACCCAGCTACGGGCAAACTCCTACAAGGGTGGGTGAGAGAGAAGTTGTGCTTTCTAGCTCAATACTAAACAGGCAGAATGCCCCCCACACACACTTCATATTAAATGAAGGAATAGACAAAAACAGCAGCAGAAGGGCAGACCCCAGGAGCCAGCTGCTGACAAGACAGTCTGTGTGTCCGTGTGTGCACGTTTCTGAGTGCGTACACT